TGAAACCATTTACCTCAATAAAAAAATAAAGCACACAAATAACTAATAACATTAGAATATGTCAGTTAGTTCAAAGCCTGGAAACTCTGTCTACCTCGATCTGCTTATCAAGAGCCTTGAGCTGGTTTTGATTTCATGAGCAATACGAATGTCTCTTTATAGATTAAATTTGAGCATAAATTTATTTATTTGTAGATTGCTAAACTCCAATTTCCCTTTCTATCTTAAACCATTAACTACAAAACTTTGAAACACCCAATGAGAATAGTGAAAGAATTCTTTCAACCGGATATTTCACCTGCTATACTTAACCTTTTGGATTTTTAAACTTAGAATATTTTAAATGGTTGCCTAAACTCTGCCATACCTCCAAGTTCATGGAGTAAATGCTAAATACAGAACCACTGGTTTTCAGGCAAGCAGACTAGCCAAAATTCATTCATGAATTCGTGTAATTGGAGTGATCTCTGCATATACCCTCTGCCCATTTTAATTCTACTGCTGAATTTACAGAGTTTAGTTTGACCAAATATTTTGAGCTAGAGAATTTGCACAGATGTTCACCCTCTTTGTAAGTAAACTAAGCCATATACTCTGTCTTTTAGAGAGAAAGGTTTTCTTGGTAAACACATTAATTGCCTTTATGTCATCTTTTACAAATGATCAAGAATCATCTGAGGACATCTAAAATGTATGTTTTTTTATCAGGAAGGGCCCTTTTCACCTGAGAAACAGTCAGTCTTTGAAGTATAATTAAGAGATGGTACTATATTCAATGACAAATTTTGTTTTTAGTGAATATATTCTTTTCAGTTAAGTAAAGTAATTGGGGGGTCACTTCATAAATTATATAAATATCTAATCAATATGCTGTATACCTGAAATGAATATAAAATAAAAAATTAATTTTCCAAAATAAAAATAAGTAAAGTCATTACTAACCCCCCCAAAATCTACATTAGAAAAAACTCTTAACTCTAAGAATAACATAAGACAATAAAAACATGATTCATCTACTGTCAAATATCACTGCATTCTTTTTAACTTGATTTGTAAAGTCCCAATGTTTTATTAAAGTACATGTGATAAATGTCATGACATGTTAATTTTTTGAAAATTTCTCACTCTCTTTAATCTTAAATAAAAACATAAGTTAACATTTCATAGGTGTACAAAGACCTAGAACATTTTTATTTCACACAATAAGATGTATATTAGACAATAATAAAAGGCCAGAAGCCTGAAGATAGACTTTTTAACCAAAACAAGTATACAAACTCAAATCTAAGCGACTAAACTAACCATAAATTTTAAACATAGATTATGTCAGAGTTAAAACCATTTAATGCCATCAAATGTCAATAGATTACATTTTAAGCAGCAGTAGTGATTAATAATGATAAAAAATCATTTAAAATTTGCTCCATTTTATAAAAAATGTATTAGTTTTACTAACACACAAGAGAGTAAATCCTTGATGGATTTACAATTTTTATGTCACAAAAATTCATTATCTCCTGAAACCAGTTCAAATCATAAGTCTTTCCTTTCCTCCTAACTCTGTTTAACATTCTTACTCTGATAATACCATCACAGGATCAGAGCTGATGCCTAAAGCTCTATCGACCAGAATAGTTGGAGGGATATGGTGGTTTTTCACCCTAATCATCATTTCATCCTACACTGCCAATCTGGCCGCCTTCTTGACAGTAGAGAGAATGGAATCCCCCATAGATTCAGCAGATGATCTGGCAAAGCAAACCAAGATAGAATATGGGGCGGTCAGAGATGGATCGACAATGACTTTCTTCAAGGTAAGAAATTGACAATGCATTCTCAATGATTATCTCATACTTAGGGGAGGGGTTGCAAAATAAAAGAGTCTCCCCCAAAAGCAAGAAATCTTAGGCAAGTTTTTTTATAAAATAAAAAATCTTAATAATATAATTCCATTACAAGGAACCCATGTGCCCTCAGCAATCAACATAAGGCAATTTCTTTGGCCCTTCTATCCCCAATTTAATACAGTCAGATCCACAGGTCAATATCTTCAATATCTTCTCTTGTTTTTTTACCATAAAAAAATACTATTTTCTGAATACGGTCTAACCACACATTAATTAATTAATCGCTCATGTATGGAACCCACAAAAATAAAGATTCTTTAATTTGAAATTCTGACAACCAGAATACTTGAATATAGTAGTTTTGTTCTTTCTGTTCTATATTCAATGAGATAGAAACAGATGACAAGTAAATGTGTCAATATTGGGATTTATTTGGAGAATTAAACCCCTCCCAAAATCCCAGAGGACTCTGGTCTAATATTGCATTTGCACAGAGGACAGAGTTGTCAGCCAGACTCAAAACTTTCCAATAGCCTGGAGTGCCTTCCAAGGCACCAAAGGAGAATTAAGTTTGAGTCAATACCAGTTTTAGTGTCAAGTGCATTTCATTGTTCTAGTCTTTTTAATTACTTACCCAGAGCAATGAAACTGATTTCTGCCTTGCCTATGAAATAAGCCTTGTTAAATCTCAGATACTATAGCTCCTATGGGGGAAAATGGGCTTAAATAGATCCGGGGAGGTTTAGAGATGGCAAAAACACCTTAGAGATCATCAAGTTCAGCCCTTCACTTTACTTCTGCAGAGAACAAAGCCTTCAGAATCTAAATTATCTGTTCAAAATTATGTAGTTGGTCTATGACAGAGATAGGCTAGAAAATTCTTTTAAGATGTAACTGTGCATGTGAAAAAAAAGGAAAACATCAGTGTATCCAAAATAAACTTTAAATATACCTTTATCAAGGTTTCACATCCAGATTATCACAAATGAAGTTGTCCCCCCAGGACTGAGTGGCTAAAAACTTGCAAGGAATATTAATTTAGAAATAAAAAACTAAGGATAAGAAAAAGTGAATATTCTCTTTGTATAACAGTTTTGGTAGTATTGGTTCACCAAAATAGGTGTCACCTATGCAGTAAATTTGGTTTAACAATTAATAATAAAAATGCATTAATAAAAACTTTATTTTAAGAGTAAACTATACCTGGAGGCTTATCAAAAAGTAGAGTAATGTAAAAAGCTAGGATTTGCTTTTTCTCTATATTAAAAAGATGATCTTTAAACATTCTTTTCACTTTAAGAAATATGTCATTGATTTAATGAATGTGTAAAGTGTGGTGTTTGTTTCTTCCCTGGACAAATGTTGTTTTAAGGACAAATGACATTAAATATATGGCTCTCTAAGCTTCTAAAAGTTGTGTTTCTATGAAGAGACACGAGTTACCCTGAACTAGTTAACTGATCACATGCTTGTCAGAACCCAGGAAAGTCACCTGCAAGACACATAGGACAGAGGGACACTGCCAAAGTAGATTCGGGTATGTCTTTAAAAATATCTGAAATGGTTTATCTCTTTTGCCAATATTGAAATGTTTTAGAATATTGGAAAATGGGCAAGTAGAGGCAGAAAAATTCTACTACCTTCTACTACAGTACAAATACAGAAAAGGCATGGGCTACTCTTTCTAAAAGCAGTGATTTGCCACCGTGCAAACTATCTACATATTCACAAAGTATCCCCTAGCCTCGTTTTGATTTGTCTCTGCTTATTTGCCTTTCTGAATATAAAGGGTGCTGGTTCCCATTTTTCCTGGCAGGACCCTGGGGTGACCACATGAAGGCACGCTTGGGTAGTGCATTTCCCCGCAATGATCGTGTACTACTCTCACAGCATTTTCAGAAAGGGCTCCTCCTGCTTGCTCCCTGGTCCTGAAAATGAGGCACAAGGAAAAGTGGTCTCTCAGGTCATCAGGCAAATGATGAAGCAATAAGCATCTCAGGGAGAAAGAATGTGATGACGGTACCAGCAGCAACTGAGAATAGCAGCACAGTAACTCACAACCACATGCTGTTTCTAAATGCTTTACATATGTTATCTCATTTTATCCTTACTAAGGCCAGCTGGGATAAGCACTGATATTACCCCCGTTGCATGATGAAGAAAATGAGGTACAGCTCAGTTAATAACTTGCCGATATTTACAAAATTATTGATGGAAAACTTCAGAGAGTTCTAGAAGATAGAGTCCCTGAGGGTAAAGAATTGGTCTGTTTCATTTATCATCACATTCCCAGAACCTAAAACAGTACCTGGCACATAGTAGGCACTCAGAAAATATGTTTTAAATAAATAAACAAATGTTAATGAATTCAGAGAGACGGAATTCTATCGAAGAAGAAGGGGGGGGGAGGTGAAGAGAGAGAAAGATGGAGGGAAGGAAGAAAGGAGGGAGGTAGAGAGCTATCTTTGTCCGTTCAGTCTGCAGTAACAAAACAAAACAAAAAAATCCCCACAGACTGGGTTGCTTATAAACTGCAGAAATTCCTTTCTCGCCGTTCTGGAGGCTGGAAGTACAAGACCCACAGAGGGCCTCTTCTAGGTCATAGACTTTAAGTCGTATCCTCACATGGTGGAAGGGGCAAGGAATCTATCTGGACCTCTGTTATGAGGCACTAAGTCCACTCATAAGGGTCTCGCTCTTTTGACTTAAGCACCTTCCAAAGGCCTCATCTCCCAGTTGCATCATCTCTGGGGGTTAGAATGTCAATATATGAATTTAGGGGGAACGCATTCAGACCACAGTACGATGGACACATTGAGTTCTACACAGGAAGAGACGCTGTTGCCAAGTTCTCGATTTACAAGCTAGCCTACACCCCAGCAGCCCTCTTTATCAAGAAGGAGTTTGTTTGAAAAAGAGAACAAGGACTAAATCCGACTTAGTTTTCCCCTTGAGGGACGTAAGCTGTCAGAAAGCTTCAGAGGGATACGCACTCGGGGTTCTTAAGCTGGATTATCCCTCAAGGGAAAGAAACACTCCAGCCTTCCAGCTCTCAGTGTAGTTCCACCCTAAGGCACTGAGTGACAGCAGTTACGGTCACAAGGACTCAGTCCTGACCTGGCCCCACATTAATGTTTCACCTCTGCTATGCCATGGAGGCCTCTCTCCCTCCCATTCTCTCTTAATCAAGGACAATATCCTCTCTTTAGCTGCTGAATGAATAAGGAATGACGCAATACATTTGCCTAATCTAATGAATTAGGGAATGCATTTGCCTAGTCTAACCAGCATATTCTGATCCCTTGTTGAGGAATGAACCATTTGCTCAGATCGGTCCCATCTCCACTCAAGTACAAGAAAACATTTAGTAAAAAGCATTTCTCATCACACACAGTGTAACTTAAAGTGCTTTTGTTCCCGAAAAAACAAACAAACAAACAAACAAAAACAGGTGATAGATAGATAGATAGATGATAGATAATGATGATAGATGATTGACAGATAGATAGATGATGATGATAGATAGATAGATACATAGATAGATACATAGATATATATATCTCCTTTTGTTAGCACCCAAATAGTAGAAACCTGTCTCTTTGCTTTCAAGTTCATTCTAAATTGTTTTATAGCTACAGAACAGACAGCTACAAGGAGGAAAGAACTATAGACATTACCAAAATCCATGAACAAACAAAATTGCTAATCCTTCACATTTGGTCTCTGGACCACAAGCACGGGATGTTCTTAGTGAAGGTTCTTGAAAAATGTGGCCAGAAGTTTCTTGCTAAAATTTCAATCAAAATCTATTGACTTTTTCTCCCTAGACTTTGCTATCTTGTATGATCTCAGAGTTCAGTTTCGAGATATTTGATTTTTGACACTAAATAAAAAATTTACTTTTTAAAAAATAGCTCAAATGAAGTTCCACTATCCACCATTTAAATTCAGGTAAGGCAGAGGGAATGAACTGACATTTATTGAGCAAGTGCCAAGTCTGGGACATCACCATTAGCATCCCACTCATACTCCTAAGTATTAGTCCTATTTTTTCAATCCTTCTCTTTTTTTTGTTTTTTTGTTTTTAACCCTCTAGTTTGGTCTTTGTTCAGCTTCCTGTCTGTGACTTCTGGACAGAAAAGTCCAGAGTGGGTACCATGTGCCCAAGATGTCAAGGACTTTCAGAGGCCAGGCCAGACAAAGCCCATCCTAAGTGCATACCTTGTATTTGCAGGAGAACCACCTCCAGGTGGTAAGTAGGCAACAGATGATGAAGATGCCCATAGAAGTCAGCTAAGAAGTCGAGTGAGGCAGTTTAACTTAATTCAACTCAATTAATATTTTTTCCAGATCTCTAATAAATCCAGTGCTTGAGGTTGGCACTATAAAGGGTAGGAGGGGAAAAGGTATAAAATTCTGTGCAAGACTTGAAGATCTGAATAGCAGTAGAGAGACGAGATGCACTTAGACCTGTTAGATACAATGCAATGTGATTAAGAAGCATGTGTTCTGCAGACAGGAAGTGGTACACACATCGGAAGGCGTTCTTATCAGCCATATTGGCTAGGAAATATTCATGTAAGAAATGCATCTCATAGAAGCTTGCCTGGCAACAAATCATTATCCTCTCAGACCCAAGCCAGAGGATTACACAGATTAGATCATGGTTCAGTCTAAAAATTACTTGGTTAAAATAGGTTTAAAAAGTCATAACAGACTTATCATTTCTGGCTTTCATGGTCTGGGGACTTTAAACCAGCTGTGGGAATAAGAGACTCTCTAACCTTTATAAAATCCCTCCAGGGAGTGGTTAGGTGCTGAGCACCGCACTGGTGGGAATGAAGCAATGGGACATTATGGGGAGACAGGCTTCAGATAAAAATAGTCATTTAAGGAAGAACGAGATGAAAGACATTTCTCAAACTTCCCTGCACAGGAAGGCACTCTTCATGTAAGAGCTATTAGCT